TGCAAAAGCCTGGCCTTATCTCCAAATGAAATAAATGGAAGACAACCACTCAGAGAGGGAAATTGGAGATTTAGGACAGCCTGGGGTAGGAAACAGGAGTGTAGTCGGGGACAGGAAGACCATAAGACAGTGAGTCTAAGGCTCCTAGAACTAACAGAGCTGTGCTTTTAAAAGCTTATCACCTGAAACTGAAAGCGGATTGAGAGAGAAAATGAGTTTGGCAGTGTGAAGCCCTAGTATTAAAAATAAATAAATACCTTAATACCCTATAAGGTCCATGTGTTCTCCCCCAAAAAAACAACAGATACTAAAACGGAGATAAAATTTAATTATAAAATACTTAAACACAACTCCTTTGCTTCACAAACTTCTCAGCTGTCCTGGATTTTTTTCTAATCAAAGGAGGCTCTGGAAAAGGATCAACAGATCAGAGATGTAAACTTTGAAGGAAAGAATAAGATCTTGGTTAAGTTCAGCCCCATTAGTCTGACTTTGGTTCACATATTTAATTTTGCTGAAGTCACTTTGGAATGTCTGCAGCCAGTAATTTTCCTCAGTTAGGAACAAAGCTAGGAATGGGGATAAGAATGCAAAACACCCAAAAGTCATTAAGAATAAGGTAGCCCAGGAGTCATAGGGTTTTACGAGAAGCTATTGAATTGGACAATAATTTTCCTGTCCATTCCTTTCCCATGATGGATTATATTCCAGTGCTCTGTCTGCTCTTTCCTTCATCCATCTCTCTCCCTCCTGAAAACCCACACAAGTCAGATTTGGGGCATGACAGATGGGAAGGCTTCTGGGCTGGGAATCGGGACCCCCCCCCCCAGGCCTGAACCTAGCACTGATACAAGGTGCATGATTCTGGACTCTGAGTCTTCAAGAGTCAAGTGAAGGGTTAGACTAAATCTTTTCTATATTCCTTTGCTTTTATTTTTCTCATATTTCTGGAGTTGGAAGATCAAGGTGTGGGCAGCGTTGGTTTCTCCTGAGACCTCTCTCCTTGGCTTGGGTATGGCCATCTTCTCCGTGTGTCCTGACATGGTCTTTCCTCTGTGTGTGTCTGTGTTGTTGTCTCCTCTTCCTATAAAGATACCACCCAGATTGGGTGAGAGCCCACCCTGTATTCCTTCATTTTACATGAGTTACCTTTTAAAGACCCTATCTCCAAATACAGTCATATTCTGAGGGACTAGGGGTTAAAACGTCAACACATGAATTTTGGAGAGGACCCAGTTCTTCCCATAGCATTCTAAAAATGGACCTAATTGGACTTGTGGCCATTGGACACTCTTTTTTAAGAACCTGGCCCCGTGGATTACTTTTTTCAAGGACATTAACCCTTCCACTTTACTCCCTCTTCAAGACTAACTCCACGTGTTCTTTCAGGTTACAAGAAACAGAATCACACTTGGGTTCCCTCATTTGTTGTCCTGTTTTTTTTTTTTTTCATAGAATGCAAAGGGAAGGAAGCAAGACAGGATTTAAGCCGCCTCCAGCAAATCTCTGTAGAAAAGAAAACATTGTTCGAGGTACCGTGAAGCTCCATGAATCTGGTCATCTTGTTTCTTTAGGGAAGAGATCCATTGGTCTCTACTCCAAATGACGTCATCAGACAGAGACCTCCACTTTTTTCCTGCCTCTACTGCTCCTGCTGCCTCGTGGTCTCTCTGATGTCTCTGAGTTCCAACTCTAGGACGTGGACCTGAGTGGGCTGGCCAGTCAGCAGTCACTGCACAAACTGCCTCTGCTGGACCACTCTGCTCTTCCACCAGACCCTTTATCAGCCATTGCATAGCCTGGTGATGGCTGGCCCCATCAGTCTTCTCTCTCTGGTCTTATCAGTCTGGTGGTAAGACCATGTGGTTCTAAAGGATGACCAAGGACATCCTTGAAAGGACATGGAGTCCTTCATGGTTCACTAAGATTTCACAGAAGCAGAAAATCAAACAGTAGGAACCTAACTGAGTACAGTCATGCATCACTCAATGACTGGAATATGTTCCCAGAAATGTGTCATTAGGAGAGTTTTTATTTTGTGAATATCATACAATGCCTTACACAAACCAAGATGGCTGCATCAGTAGGTCATATAATCCTACGGGATCACCGTCACATTGGGATCTTGTCATGACTGAAACTTTGCTGTATGGTGCATGACTGTGTTCCCAGTGTATTCTACCTCCTTCCTTCATGTATCAAGAAATTAAGAAGTAGTTGGTATTCATGCCTTCACTGTCTCACCTTCATTCCTCTTTAGCCTAAATCCCTGAAATCCTGGCACCCTGACTTCTGAACCCACACCACCTTTCTTCTCTTAACTCAGATTAGCTTCTAACTTAATATCCGTCTTCCTTTTATCAACTTTGTTGCTGTGTTTAAAATCATTGAGTGACCACTCCTGCTTGCCAAGTCCTCTGACGTGGCTTCTGTGACTGTGTTATCATGGGAGAAGGGGAGGTAAACTCTAGGGAAAGTTCTGGCATCCACGGACCTGGGAGTGAACCCTGACTCTTCCTAGCTCTGTCCCATTGTGCACGCTGATTCTATGTCAGTTCAGGACACTTTATTTTTGAGGTAGCTATGATAGTTGGTATGATTGTATAATGGGTGGAAATTCCAGATAACAACAGGGTTTGGGTTTAGACAAACAAGTAAGTAGATGGATGCTCAAGACCTTGTACCCAAGTAGATGACAAAATCTATTGATTCGACTTCCAGAAGGTCTCCCAGATTTATTCCTCTTCTTTGCTCCTACCACCCTGGTGGAACATCTCAATCAATCCCTTTGACCTAGCTTAGTAGTTAACTGAGTCCTAAGCAGTTCTTGCAAATCCCAGGGAGATTCCTCAGGGCCCTCTGTGGGTGGGAAGACAGAAAAGTGGTTTGTCCTCTGAGCAGAATCCCATACTGCCTCTCACTTTTAACAAGGTCAATTCTTTTTATGTTCTATATTCTTTTTTTATGTTTTATATTTTTTATGTTAAGAAAATATTTTCATTTTGTTTTATTTTAAAAACCCCACTAGCCCACATATTTATACTGCCTCGGAACTCATCTATCTTTAAAGTGCCTCTTCTACAATGTACTTTGTAATCAGTTTCAGATTATTTCTCCCGAAGCACATTTCTGATCTTGTCATATCCCAATGTCTGCAAATATACTGTTCAATATGGTAGCCATTAGCTATATAGGACTATTTAAATTAATTAAAATTGAATTAAAGGTTCAGGTTTTGTAGATGCAACTAACCATATTTCAAGGACTTGGTATCCAATATGAACTAGTGGCTGCTATTTTTCACAGCTCAAAACATTTCCATTAATATGGAACTTTCTATTGGACAGAAATGCCCTAGATAACTAAATAAAAGGTTCTGATCTTTGCTGATTTTTTCCCCTCACTGTAATGTTTCCGTAAGACCTAGTTGTCTAAGCACACTCACTTACAACCCCACGTCTCAGTTTACCAGCCCACGTGTTAGGGTCTGTAAACAAGTCAGGATGGCGCCTGGTATTTTGCCAGAGGGAGTGGTTTATGAGATGGCGCCAGCGAGCCATTAAGTGTGGAGATTCCTTATTGGTTGACTGCTGTATCTAGTTTATGCTAATTAAGATAAGCTGTGTGGAATGTATGTATACCCCTCCTGTCCTACAATAAATGGCTCCCACTGCTGCTGTATCAATCTACACAAGTTGCTCGTCACCCCCCCACCCCGTTAGTTTGCTGCAGCCGTACTGCGGCACCCACGTAAGGTATCTTTTGCACCTTCATTGCATACCCAAATCTTACTCCCCATTTAAATACTTTCCCCTGTGAAGTCCTTACTAATTTCCCAACTGAAAGTATTTCACTCTTCCTGTGAATGCTCGGGATTTTAAATGAAGCACTCTAGTATTTTCAGCCACATTTCTTCTAGAATTATAACTATCTCTGCACGTTTTAGCTTTTGACTTGGTAGGGGATCCTCTGAAGCTGATTCTGAAATTCAAGTGTGAGTAGTTTAGTTGAGAGGTGATCCCAGAAATCACCAATAGAGGGCAGAGTTGGTAAGGCAAGAAGGGGAAAAATCAATCAAAGATTTGTTGTCACTTCACTTACTGCTATGAGGAACGAGAGCCCAATCCCATTGGAATACAATGTCAAACACAGTTATCCCAAACAAAGTCAAGGATATTGACCTAGGGTATTTATTCTCCAGGGCCTTTTTTGTTATTTATCTGAGGGTTGCTTCCAGGGAAAACAATCTGGGACATTTCCATTTTGTTTGACATTCAGACCAACCACACTTGACCAGAAAAAAAAAAAAAAATCTCCAGCAAAGAGCTGCGTGTACTTGCAGCAAAAACCTTTTCTGGGGTGGTAATGGATGCTTAGGTGGCCCAAATAGGCTACCAACTGCATCTTCCCCAGCACCCAGAGAACTGGAAGATTGGTCCCTGAGGACTGAGGCTGTCTGAGTCACTGATGTGTGTCTCCCTCTATGGCCTAACATTGGCAATCAATTAGCAGTTGTCCAGTGAATGAATACATTATCCCAAGGGTATCGGGTACTGAAGAAGAATTCTTGAGGGAACCCACTGGTTGACGTCACAAATTCACTCGGTGTCAATCCAGATAATATCTCAGCACATATACTGGGGAATTGTGTTGGCTTTGACATTCAGGGATTACGGACCAAACACTGTGCAAGTGTGGGAATTTGCTCAAGCAGACTGTAAAGGAGTTCTGGGATTGCTTCAGAAGCTTCCCTGGGCTCCACTAGAGGAATATCTACTGCAGCACTTGCCACTATCCTTGAAACACCTTTGTAATAGTTCCGAAAGGGACCAAATTTTTCTGTTTCAGCAATGATTCTGTTTTCTGTTTTTCAGCCAGGAGAGGTAAGAGAGGAGAATTAAGAATCATGAACTAGGGGGAAAGTGTGTGTGTATGTGCACATAGTATACATGGATTTGGTGTGTATATGTGGTGTAGGATTTTGTGTTGTGTCTACATGTGTGTGGTATGCATATGGTGTATGTGTGTGTGTGATGTGGGTGGGGTTGGGTGTATATGATGTGTGTGCACATGTGAGCAGTATGTGTGTATATATGTGATGTGTCTGTGGTGTGCTTGGTGTGTGTCATACATATATGCGTGTGCGCATGCGTTTGCTGGGTGTGAATGGTATATGTGAATGGTATGTACATGTATGTACGTGTGGGTGTTATGGAAAGTCAACAAGGGCACATGTGGCAGCCCCCCAGTGTGGCGGAGGGAAGTTTCCCACCTACACCACACTAACATGAATAGCAGAGCCATTGACATACAGGCCTTCTATGCCCGTGGTCTACTTATGATTTTCACAAAGAACCATGAGGAGCACGGCACGGCTCACAGCACTCCTTTAGGATATGGTTAGTAGCCAAAATTGTGTCCTTAAACAAAAATGCTATGTGGCCCTGGCCTCCCTGCTGTCATTCGCCATCTCTGTACGTTGCACATTAAATAGCAAGAACGGACTTTCAGCCTCCCTCTTTATATATTATAGTTTAATTTCTACCCAAACTGTGATAGTTTAATGATAAATAGCTTCCAGAATGACAAATGCCTGGAGTTGACCTTTGGAGTCATAAGGTTTGGCCCTGAGTTTTGAGAAAGATGAGGGAGAATGGGGTCAGGAACTAGTCCTTGACTTGCCCAGGGCGGGGAGCACAGTCAGAGGCGGGACTGACAGCTCAGGTTTCAGGAAGAAAACAAGAAATATTATGAGACTCCTCTCTTCTTTATCCAAAGGAAGCTTCCAAGAGTAAAGGCTCAGAGATGTTGTCGGGAGACTACCTTCAGCAGTCAGGTATCCCCAGAGAAGGGAAGCACTGCGATAGGACCTTGCAGCAAATGACGTGTGGAAGGCCAGGCAAGCTGCACCTGGCACCTGGGTGCATTTGGTTTCCAAAAACAGAAGAGGATGGAACCATATAGATGCTGAGATAGAAGTTCAAAACAGGTATTGAGGCTGAAGCCCACACTGCGGCTCCAAGCATAATCCCTGAGGCAGAATCATAGTCTACACAGTGTAATTCCAGAATGCTTATCTTTCTTCCAGACTGACATTCACTTCAGGAAGTTATGAAGTTAAATTTCGGGTCTTACAGAGATGGTAAAAGTGCTTCTTGTAAGGGTTGAAGGATTGCCGTTTAATAGATTCAGTAGACGGCAGCTATTGTTGTGGGTGTAAGACCTCTGTGGATAGCTCCGTGGATACCATGTGACGTATCCCAGTCACATGGTAATAACAGCATTTCGGGGTGTAAAACAGCAGCCAGGAATTGGGGTCACTGCTCACTCATCAAATCCTGAGTTGCAGGTTTGAAGGTTTGGGGTTTAAATTTGCTTAAGCAATCCAAGGTTGCTTTGGAGACTAACCAAGTCTGATGGTGTAGGGATCAATAGGCCCCCGGGTTTGGGGAGGGGAAGGCAGTGTTGTGAGGGATCATTTAGGTATGGGATTCGGTTCTCATAAATATTTCTAGTAAAACTAGGAATAGTGATGTACAAAGCATAGAAAGAGTGAGAATGACCCCTTTAGAATAGTTCAAGAGACACTACTACCACCCTATTTCCAAATACCTCTGCCTTCCACACTGCAGGATTCCAATCTGGAATTCCAGCGGCCGGATCTCCTGATTAGGCAAACAAGAAAGGAGACTTCTCTCCAGATGGTGATAATTAAGATGCATTACCGGGAGGCAGGGGATCAGGGGCCTGGAGTGAGTAGAGACCTTTGCTCTGCTCTATCTTTATTTATGGGCACATTGTTCTACAAAGTAGAAATGGTCCCTTTAGGGAGAGCACACCAAAACGGGAGGTCACTTGAGTTCTTAGTGTTTGATACTTTAGTATTTGGTCAGCATTCACATGTGGTCTAGGAATAGCTTTTCTAGTTTCTCCTCAAAATTACAACCACAAAGGACAGAATCTTCTAGAAAATGCCACTGCATTTCCTTTTTCCTCCTCCTTTGCCAACTTCCAAGCAAATATCTACTCACCTACCAGAGCCAGTCTACCCATGTCATTAGAGTGTGAGAAGGTTACTGGGCAGGTTTAATGAAGGTCCACTAGACAGGTCCCTCTTCATCAGAGGGCACAGTGAAGCTAAGTTCAGTTGGGGGCTCAAAGTGAAGCGGAAAGAAATGTAAAGAAGGAGTGGGGTAGACAAGGTAAAGAAGATTGCAAGGTTCCTGGGCAAACTGTCCACTTTCAGGTGGTCAATGTCTGATCCTGCTCATTAGTACCCTCTGCTGTGTTTAGAGAAATTATATGCATGATGGAATCATTTTTCAAGTCTGCATTTTGCAAAGTTATTGGAGAAGGGCATAGCTCAGGGAACTAAACAGAAGTCTAGATGTGCAGAATGAGATGGGGTTGGCTTGCCTCTGGGGACACTAATAGTGGTGGATAGAGGGAAGAGGTTGTGCAATATGACACATTGTTCTAGAAGGGTTCAGAGGCCTGAGCAGTGCCTGTGTTTTATCATCTTCAACCTCAGCTACCTGTCTCTACCCCACAAGGGTTTTCTTCCTGGAAAACTCTATCCAGGGACTTCCTTCCTTGGAAACACATCAATTTGAAAAAGTACTAATCCATTCCAGATAAAATTATTATAAAAAGTAATTATTCAAAGTCTTTCACCTGTGAAACCAAGCTCCTGCGTGTCCATGATGAAGTCATTTGTGTTGAGCATGACTAGGGGATGGGAGAGGCCAACAGGGTGGGCTCACTGTGAAGTACCATTGCCTGAGGAATGAGTGGGCTAGGTGAAGGGAGTCACCCACAGGTAAGGGTGCACAGACTGAAGCCACAGAACATGGTCTTTGTCACTTTTGGACAATGTGAGAGGTAAGATGGCCACTCACACCACGGAATGCCTGACTAGACCCTCAAAGACTTGAGAAAGAACTTGTAAAGAACTTGCCCAGAGAAGACAGCCTATAAGAACTGGTGAGGCCCAGCCTGCTTCCCCCACCTCAGCCAAGTCCAGCCACCTGTCCTGACAGCTTGCTGAGAGCCTGGGTTGGGGGAGCAGCCACGCATGGGGAGTGCTAAGGCACATCCTAACAGTGCCCTGGAAATCTGGCTGCCTTTATCAGTGACCTAGGGGACCCAGACAAAGAGCCCTTGGAAAATGTAAGGGCTGGTCACTGTTGCCACTTCAGGTCCTCAAGTCTGTTTCTGGGAGCTGTTACTCCCTGGGAATTTCCAGAACTAGCTGGGGAGGATCAGAGATGTTCTGAGGCACTCACAGTCTGCAGTTTGTGGTCAAGCCGCAGAGGATAGCCTTTGCTACTACTTGTGTGTCACAGAAAAAGACGTTATGTATACATGTCGTGAGCATCCGTGACGGGGACCTTGCCATAAGTTAAACGTGGAAATCAGTCTCATCACTTATAGACGCAGGTGGGGCCGGAGCCGGAGTCTGCTGACCCGACAGAACTTTTTGTGTGTGGCTTTGTTCTGTTCTACTTCTAGCGTAGGATTGGTGGGCTTTGAGTTTGCACTTCTCCCTCCATTTACCCTGTGGCTCATCAGCAAGAGGGAAGGTCCGCTAGGGTAGGGACTGAGTCAAAGTGGTAGCAGGCCCTCAAAGAATCAGCTCTTCAGAGTTCAGGCCACCCACCAGCTGTCCCCTTTGATTTACACTTCACCAGGCTGTGGAGTCTCGATCTCATAGTCTGACCTTCCAATTAGATAAGCTGACCACAAAGCCTCTTTGATTCTCAAGATTGCTGGTGTATTCAAGCCCCCTTGTCCTCCAGCCATCCAGGGGTAGAAGCTGCAGACTTCGGGAGTCGCACGGAGGCTGGCTGCCTGTCATCCTAAGTGCAGCTGGCCAGCCTCCTCAGGTTACTGCACAGGATTATGGGTAAAGTCTGCACTGAATCTGTTCGAAAAGTGGAGATTTGCCATGTGTTTTGTTCATGCAATTAACTCATTGTAAGCAATTTGGTTCCCAGATTTCCTGCAATCGGAATCATGGACCATTTTCCCAGTCACTGGACCATTAAATCCCTGTGTACACAAAACAAAGAATGAGAAAAAATGGAAACTTAAAATATTCTTAAGCTCAAATGGTGGGATGAATGTTATGTTGGATTCTATCAAGATGATTATGAGTGTTATCTGGGATTCTACTGATAGGATCAATATTATCATAATATATAAATATATAATATAAATAAATGTGAATATAAATATAAATATGCAGAGTTCTCACACTGTGAAAAGCCAGCTGCAACACAGATTGCATCTGCCATGTCGATAGACAGGGCAAGGATTAGTTACAGCATTGTTTAGAAATTACAGGTTTACAGATCCCTTCTCCTTTTCAAGGATTAAAGAAAATATAACCTGCTCTACTGTGTTTAAAATGGAGGGGGGGTGGAAAGGATTTTCTTGTCTCTTACCTGCACACCCAGCCTGGGGCAGATTTATCCATCAGAATACATTTCTTTCTGATGCATAGAAACCTTTCTGGTGTTTGAGAATTTGATGGAGCTTTCCTAACACATCATCCTTATGTATGCTAGAATTTGATTCTGAAATCTTCTCTGTCAAAGTGACCTTCTGAAAGGTACTGAGATAAATTAGAGTCTGGCTCCGCCTGGTGTTGCCATTGGAAAACTACACCTCCACATACAGAGATGGCTGTCTGTAGGCGGGTTTGCCCTCTAGGGTATGCAAACATAGAAAAATACTAATCAAAGACTGAATACTAACTAAATTCCTAAGTTCAAAATACTAAATATTAGTTTCAAACTATAAAACTTACAAAATACTAAAACACCCCCCAAATAGAGACCGTTGAAGAAACTTGCCAGACTTGTCCTAAGGACCATGTATGTTTTTGTTTAAGTGTCCATTGCTGTGCAACAAATCATCCCAAAATGTAGGTTTTTAAAACACAATATCATTTGTTATCACCCGCGGTGTCTGTGGGCCAGGGACCTCGGCACGGATCAGTTGGGTCGTTCTAGATGGTGTTTCTTTGTGATGAGGTTGCAGTCAGACGGTGCCTGGGTCATCTCCAAGCCTTGGGTCTCCCTGCCTGGTGGCTGAACTGGTGATATTGGACAAGCTGGGGTAGGAACAGCCAGCGCCTCCTCCTGTATGGGTCCCTTTGTAAGAGTTCTCTGGGGAAGCCAGACTTCTTCCTCAGGTGAGCCAAGGTAGTCTACTGAAAAAGAGAGCCAGGGGAAACTGTCTTGCTTTTTGTGACCCAGTTTCAGAAATCACTTCAGCTGTGATCTGCTGTCAGGGGAGAGCCACCCAAGGTCACAGAAAGGGAACATAACCCCACCCTTAAGACAGAAATGTCAGTGGCACATAGGAGGAGAAAGATGTGGGGTGGGATATCTGTTTGCGTGGGCGATCTTCATAAAAATACAATCAACCACAATTGTTTTATTTAATTCTCCACAAAACTATATGAAGTTTCTACTATAATTAGAACAATTTTACATTTAAGTGTAAAATGCCCTTTCTATGTCATAATAGAGCATGGTCTAATAAAGTATCTAAAGTGCCATCAATACAGGATTTTCAGTCTTGGTGTAATTGACATTCCAGGCCAGATGATTCTTTGTCTAAGGAGCCTGCCCTGTGCATTGTAGGTTATTTGGTGGCATCGCTGGCTTCTACCCACCAGATTCCAATAGCACCCTATCATTAGTCACTGTGATAAAATACCTGAGAAAATCAACTTATAAGAGGGAAAGACTATCCAAGAACAAGGTAGATCTTTCCATCTTCTGAGGTCTTCTTTAATTTCTTTCTCTAGCATTCTGTAGTTTTCATTGTAGAGATCTTTTACCTCTTTTGTTGATTCCCAAGTATTTTTTTATTTTTTATTTTTTGAGGCTATTGTAAATGGGGTAGTTTTCCTCATTTCCCCTTCAGAGGATTTATCGATGATATACAGAAATGCCTTTGATTTTTGGATGTTGATTTTATAGCTTGCTACTTTGCTGAATTCGTTTACTACTTCTAGAAGTTTTCTGGTGGAATTTTTGGGGTCTTCTAGGTATAGAATCATATCGTCAGCAAATAATGCCAATTTGAGTCCTTCCTTTCCTATGTGTATCACTTTAATTTCTTTTGTCTGTCTGATTGCTCTGGCTACATTTTCAAGAACTATGTTAAATAGAAGTGGTGAAAGAGGGCATCCCTGTCTTGTTGCAATTTTTAGAAGGAATGCCTTCAGTGTTTCTCCATTTGGAATGATGTTGGCCTGGGGCTTAGCATAGACAGCCTTTATGATGTTGAGATATGTTCCTGTTATCCCTAGTTTTTTTTTGACACTTCTCAGAAGAAGATATACAATCAATCAACAAATATATAAAAAAAGGTTCAACATCTTTAGCAATTAGAGAAATGCAAATTAAAACTACTCTAAGATTTCATCTCACTCCAGTCAAAATGGCAGCTATTGTGAAGACAAACAACAATAAGTGTTGGTGAAGATGTGGGGAAAAAGGTACACTCTTACACTGCTGGTGGGACTGCAAACTGAGGGAGCCAATATAGAAAGCAGTATGGAGAATCCTTGGAAAACTCATAATGGAACCACCATTTGACCCAACTATCCCACTCCTTGATCTATTCCCAAAGGACTTAAAATCAGCATACTACAGGGACACAGCCACATCAATGTTTATAGCAGCACAATTCATAATAGCTAAACTATGGAACCAACCCACATGCCCTTCAATAAATGAATGGATTAAAAAAATGTGGCATATATACACAATGGAATATTACTCAGCAATAAAAGAGAATAAAATCATGACATTTGCAGGTAAATGGATGGAGTTAGAGAAGATAATGCTAAGTGAGGTTAGCCAATCCCAAATGTCGAATGTTTTCTCTGATATACGGAGGTTGATTCATAGTGGGTAGAGAGGGGGAGCATGAGAGGAATAGACAAACTCTAGGTAGGGCAGATGGGTGGGAGGGGAAGGGAGGGGGCATGGGGTTAGAAATGATGGTGGAATATGATGGACATCATTATCCAAAGTACATGCATGAAGACACAAATTGGTGTGGATATACTTTGTTTATACTCAGAGATATGAAAAATTGTGCTCTATATTTGTAATAAGAATTGTAATGCATTCCACTGTCATAAATAAATTTAAAAATTAATTAAAAATAAAAAAGAGAATAAAATCATGGAATTTGCAGGAAAAATGGATGGAGTTGGAGAATACAATGCCAAGTGAAGTTAGTCAATCCCAAAAGACCAAATGCTAAACCAGTACTAAACTTTCAGGCTCTTCCCAATGAATCTTCCCTCCTTCTCTCTCACCTCTCCTGGTTGTGGGCCTGTCTTATGGCCTACATTTCCTACGGAGCCCGTTAGTGTTTCAGGTACCATGCAAAGCTGGCAGCCAGCAAGTCACCTAATTCATGGACTAGAACAGCATTTTAAGGGGTGGCACGGGTTGCTTCCAGAACTCAAAGAGGGGCTTGCAATCACTACCTTTGGCTTTGAGTTGGGCATCTCCGCATGAACCTGGCCACTGCGTTCCTTAGAAACCTTGCTGAAGAGGCAGGTCTCTCGTCTTCATAGTTCATCTTCTCCTCTCTGGAGCACGTGTGTTTTACCAAGGCTTCTAGCCCACAAGCTTCCTCTTGTTTCTCCCGGACCATGAACTTGATGACGTCACTGAGGCAATGGATGAGTGTGAGGTTCACTGGGTTCAGATGGCCCAGATCACTTCAGACTCTTTATGACAGGGGGTGGCTCCGTTAGCAAAGCTCTGAAGAAAAACAGGAAATGATTATTATAGTCTGTGCCACACGAATGCAAACTGATCTTTTCTTCTAATCTGAACAGGAAAGGCTGCACCCACGAGGTAGGTACCGTACACAGTGTGTATGGTACACAACACACACCTGAAATCTTAGGAATGCGCTCCAGCCATGTCCTGCTGCTGATATGGCAGCTAGAATCAAGACCAGCTCTTGGTTGGACTTGTAGTAGTTTACGGTCATTCTCTATGGTCCATCCAGTT